ATGGCGAACATTTTTCCCCTCTCTCATTCTTCTGCCATTGTCCTCATGTGCGTCGCCATCTCCGCCCGATGGCTATCGCATTCCAATGATACCCATTCCGGGTCGTCGCAAACCACCATATGAGTGGTTGTCTTGCGTGTGTTCCAGCCATAGGATGGCAGTGATGCGTGTGTTTCTGTTTTTCAGCCAAGGATGTGATGTTTGTGTCTTTTCCCGTCATCACCGTGGGAGTGTCTGGGTGAAAGGGTGGTTGGAAATGCTTGAAGACCATCAGGGTAGCCAACCATGGTGGCTGTCGCCGGGAGCTGCTGTCAAACGCCGCCAGGAGAGGGAGTGCTCCTGTTCCGAGCAAGACTAATGTATGGGTGTGTTTTCTGTGGTAGCATGTGTTGTGTGCGCCTTGCTTAGTCAGAATCCTTGGGAAAAGCCACTGCCACCACGAGCCACCGCCGACCACCATGGTGTGGTTGTGTATGTGTTAATGTGTGTGTGTGGTTATGTTTTGATCAAACATTGTAATTGTAATTAATTTGGATAATAATAAAAATAATTAAAGCCACCACCATAAGGTGGTGACCGCCGCCGTGAGCTGCCATCGACCAACACTACCTGAGGTGGTAGTGGGTGGTGTCCCGCTAGTAAACCCTAATGGGCTTAGAGATTGGTTTTGGGCCTATTGGGCCATGTTTGGGTGGAAAACCCTAATTATGAGTATTTGGGCCTTGGACTTATGGGACCCACTTTTGGGCCATTGGGATTGGATTGTGAACTAAGCCCAAATTATTCCACGCCATTTATCTAATAGAGTAAAGGACTTAATGAACTAAATCCTTAATGGGCTAATTGAGAAAAATCTAATATTTGAGAAATTATCAGGACGCATACGATAATTATTTAATAAGTGAAATATTAAATAATAATCATTGGCAGAAATTAATCTAAGCAGTAATGGACTTAATGGATTAAGTCCTTAATTGATTAAGTCCTTAGTGGGTTAAGTAAGAAACACTTAACCCTAGTTATCATTTGATGTGAAACCCTAATATCTCTTGGGCCTTGTGTTGGGCCATCCGAGAATAATCAAATGGACTAGAGTAATTAGTTGGGCTTTAGGGTAAGGCCCATATGAAGGATTGGGCCTAATTTGGAAAATTGGTCCATATGTTGGGCTTTGATCCCTAGTTGACTTTGGGCCTATGGATTGGGCCTTCGGCTTGGGTAAGCCAAGCTAGGGGTAATGTAGTAATTACCCAAAGTATGTATTTATAGTTATGTGTTAGAACCCAATTATTAATTGGGTGTTATCTTGGTGTTGACAGTTTGGGAATCTGTCATCCAACAGCTAGAGGTTGAGTCTGCGGGACTTCAGCAATGTGGGATTTTGTCTACGGGACTTCAGCAGTGTGAGGTGAGTTTCCTTCCAGTAGGAACGGGTCTAAGGCCACAATGCCGGCCCATTTAATTAGCAGTAGCTCCGGACTCCGGTCCGATGCAGTTAGTTTCGGACTTCGGTCCGATGCAGGGGATGGGGTCCCAGTCAGTTCCGGACTTTGGTCCGATGCAGTTAGTTTCCGGACTTCGGTCCGATGCAGGGGACGGGGTCCCAGTTAGTTCCGGATGTCGGTCTGATACAGTTTTCGGACTTCGGTCCGATGCAGTGGGCAAGGCCCAATATGTGTTTATATGTTATTGTATGGTATATGGTAGTTTGGGGGAGCTCACTAAGCTTCGTGCTTACAGTTTCAGTTTTGGTTTCAGGTACTCAATTTTCAAAAGAGGAGCTCGGGAAGATTGCAGTGCACACACCATTTGTTCAGCCTGGGATGTTTATACTCTTATATGTTTGACAGTTGTTATGATATTTTGATATACATTGTTTATGATTCTTATATGACGTTGATGAATATGGTTTTATTACTGATTTAAAACGAAATTTTCAGACTGTATTTTTGGGATGTTACAAATGGGCTCGAAACCCTATCAACAACAACAAGATTTGTGTAACAGCTTTACATGTCTGTGTCAGTAAACGATGTTTGTTGTATCAAATTTATAGGGCTACGTATCATCTGTTTTCTGAAACAATGAAAAGTTTCATCGAAAACCGTAACTACAAATTCATGGGGGTGGCTATCGAGAAAGGAACTAGTCATCTTCTTGAAGATCATGCGTTAGGCATGCAGAATGTGGTTGAACTCCGTAATTTGGCCTGCATAGAATTAAATAACCCACTACTAGATTTTTGCTATAAAATATTTCCAATGAAAGTGTTTTGTAGGAAATATCCTTCGAATCTTCTACAAACTTAAGGATGAAAGTAGATTCCAACATAATTCCTACAAATTTCTTACGAAATAAGATATCCTTAAGATTCCATCGGAAAAACGTTGGAAGTTTGCTACCATTACCAACGAAATCTTAATTAATATTTAAAATTAAAATCATGTTGGAATTCCGTAGGAAGTGTAATGAGTTTTTAACCAAAATGGGGTTATTGAAAAAACTATTTACCAATCTAGTATAGTTCTAAAAATATTTACTAAAATACGCTTTTTTTTCTTTATTTTACTTATATTATTCATTTTTCTTATTATTTTTTTACTTTAAATATCTTTTTATATACTATCTTTTTAATTTTATTTTTAATATAGCTTTTTTCTTGTTTTGAAAACCAATTTTTTTCTTTCTTTTTCTTTTTTTGTTAAATAAGTGTAGATAAGCATAAGGAATATACAAAAATGAATATATATATATATATATATATATATATATATATATATATATATATATATATATGTCTTATTAAAAATAAATTTACTAAAATAGTATTGTTCTTGTATTTTTTAGTTTTTCTTATTGTCTTTTTACTTTAAATATTTTTTTCCAGTTTTTTATTATATTTTTTATTTTTTTTCAAATATTAGTTATTTTATTTTATTTTTAAATCTCTTTTTTAGTTTCTTATTTCAATTTTTTTTTTTTAATTTTATAAATTACGTTTAACATAAATGCTTTGACATTATTTTTACAAATTATACAAACCATTTTGAACAACAAATTTTAGCTGTCTTAAATTAAATTTACCATTAGAGATACAATGTTCTTTAATATGCAAAAACTTCAACATTATATAATGTTTTTTCTAATGTAAAAAAAAATCCAAAAAACATCTTAATTACTATAGAAACACTAAAAAAACCGAACAAATAGGCATCTAATGAACCAAAATTACAAGTGTGCATTAGATTAGTTATACGGAATTTTTACGATTATTTTCTATAATAAACCTAATGGTTTTTCAAATGCTTTTATGGTTAAGTATTTCCATTTTAAAGTTTTATATATACTTATGTAGTTCTCTTTTTGTTTTAAAAAAAAAATTTGATCAAAGCAATAGAAAAAAAAAAAGGTAATCAAAATATAAGATGATACAACAGTAAAAAAAACCTTTGTTACTAAAGTATATAATTGCGTTATAGAAATAATAGCACAAAAATATTAGTGGTGTTATATATTAGGTTGATTTCACATCTAATATATCCTTATGATATTAACTAAGATATATTTTTTATAAGTCATGTAGTCATATATATATATATATATATATATATATATATATATATATATATATATAATATATATATATATATTCATTTTTGTATATTCCTCATACTTATCTAAAAAAAAAAAAAACTTATTTTTTAATCAAGAGAAAGGGTGATATTAAAAATAAAATAAAAAAGATAGTAAAAAAATATATTTAAAGTAAAAAGATAATAAGAAAAACTGAATAATAAAAGTAAAATGAAAAAAAAAAAAACTATTTTCATAAATATTTTTAGAACTATACTAGATTGGTAAATAGTTTTTTCAATAACCCCATTTTAATTAAAAACTTGAAGTGTAATAGCTGCAATTTAGAAATTGTTTCCCACATTTTCTTTTTGTTTTTCTATCCTTTTGTTTTTGCCCTCCTTATTATTATTATTATTATTATTATTATTATTATTATATATATATATATATATATATATATATATATATATATATATAATAAAATTATCCTACCTTAACTTAACTACAGTACCTAAATTCTTCATGAACTTGGGGTTGTTCATGAGGTTTTACCTGAATTAGTCAACCAACCATGATCACCGCTTCAAATATCTTTTTCTTCTCTTTCATTACAACGCCTCTAAATTCTTCGTCTCTAATAAACCCAAAAAGGGTCTCTCCACCACCGCTACAAGCGATCGCTCACCACCAACTTTGCCTATGTGGCTATTACCATGGTCATCGCTCTTTCTGTTTCTATCTAAATTAGGTAGATATATCCACCGTCTCAATACATCGAACAACCCAGGAGTCGATGAATGTATATGAGTGTATCGGGAAAGGTTGAAGGAATTCGATTCACCACCGCTAACGACGCCACACCAACGACGACGCCACCTACCTGCTCTGAAGCCTTAGTAGACACAATCGGGGTCGATTTTGAACTATACAAGTCTTTTGTGTTCTACTCCGATTTCCATCTCTCCACCAGTTAACGTCTCCTGCTTCTCTAAATCGATGCACGAGGCGGTAATTTCTAATTTCTCATCAAAAGAGTCTCGAATGATGGTCTGATTGCTACTGCTAAACCTTTACTTTTTGTGAAATTACAGGTGCAACGACTTTCAAACATGATTTCTTCAGACCCGAGGGGGGGGGGGGGGGGGGGGTTTAAATATGTGTAAAATTCTTCCAATCAAGTTTTTATCTTACATGCATATGAAGTGTTCTATGAAATGCCTAAATGAACCACGCCTAATTAGACGTTCCATAATCAACTTCCTTTCGTCTACCAGGCGGACTTGACAAATACATTTCACTTTTGATAAAATCCTACTCCTATGGTCTTGGTATACCCCTAGAGGGACTTGAACCCTCGTTTTCTCCGTGAAAGAGAGAGGTCGTAACCACTGGACCATAGGGGCACCAATGGACCATAGGGGCCTATGGCCACCTTTAGGAAAGTGGAACGCATTAGCTGTCCGCTCTCAGGTTGGGCAGTAAGGGTCGGAGAAGGGCAATCACTCATTCTTAAAACCAGCGTTCTTAAGGCCAAAGAGTCGGCGGAAAAGGGGGGAAAGCTCTCCGTTCCTGGTTTCCTGTAGCTGGATCCTCCGGGAGGATTTTGTATGTTCTTTCACTAGGGTTGGCTCTGAAGGGGGTGTTGCTGTGTCTGACATAATTTCCAGATGTACCATTTTGAAAAAGCTTTATCTCCTTAACAGTATGTTTGGTGTGGAAGTCGTGCTTGGTTTGATCAACGCTATTTCTATCTTCACAAATCTCACCGACATTTATCTAGGTTCCATTCTTTTATTTGGATCTTTCTTGAAGTTAAAAATGTTTAATTGCTAAGTATGGAGCTCCTTGAAAGTTATTTTCACATGTTTTCAATATTGTTGTTTAATTGCCATATGTTTTTTTTTTTTTCTTTTTGCTGATAGAAGCTTATGATTTCCGCATTTCCATTAGATGGAAAAGTGTCAACTGTTCCTATTACATTCAAATATGTATAAACCATCAAGACTACAATCAAATACAAGTTGGGCTACCAAATGGGATTTGGTATTGGCCTCTCAGGACATGGTCGCTACAGAAATATAATGCAGGTAAGCCAATAACAATCATGTGATATGTATATTCTTATACTGATTCAATAATCTGTTTGGACTTTTATAGTTTGAGTCTAAAGCATTTGATTGTTTTGTCAAATTACACGAGTTGATTATTGTTTTCACAATTTCTGAAGCAGCTGATATTGATTTCTTTCTGTATCAAACATTTTAAACAACATTGTCAAATGTTAGTACCTTTTCTGATCAATTACTTTGTTCAGGTGACATCAATGGACAGTTGTTTCACCACGGAGGGCACCCATCTAAGTTAAATACATATTTATGGAAGGATACGTTGGTCGTCGTAAGCAGTTGCTTGAAACATATGGGTTTGTATTCTAAAATCCCTAAAATACCCTTTAATGATTTTGTTATGTTTTTGGTTTGTTGTATAGGGTTGGATCTTGACTTAGGTTCATGCCCAAATCAACTATCGACCATAATGTACATATCTTTCTGTAAACTACTTGGACATATTTCTTACTGTCTATGAATCACATGTGAGTTGTTATTAATCATGCTTACAAAACATCGTTTGATTATGACTTCCGTTAATTGTGGTTATTATTTTCCTTTTTATTATTTTTGGGTTTCCGTGTTAGTTTTCTTAAGATATTTTTTAATGGCAAATTGTAAACTAGGGAATACCTCCTAAAGTGTGAAGAACAAGGGGGTAGAATTTCAACACCTGACTTTTATGTGTTTTTATTCGAATTCCAGAAAGCATCAAGGCGGTTCTTCCTTTTTCTTTTATTTATTTATATTTAATTTTTGTATTTCCATCATGAAATGGAATGACAAGTTGTAGTATAACTTACAACTATTCTGATAAACCATTGGTTTCATAATTTTTTCAATATCTACTTTAAGATACCATTCCACTTTCATTTTTTTATTGAAAATATCCAATATACCATTGCATTCGAACATCCATATTGTTGGTGTTCTTTTGCCTTATGACCCCAATCTTAGGCTTCCTTTATGGCCATCTGCAGAGGGAAAAAGAATGAATGTTGAGCATTTCAGATAATGGTGGCATCGTCAAGGTAAAAACTTATAACTTATAACAAAAAACTAAATTTATTCTCTTTTTCTTGGACAATATTGTTAATAATCAGATAAGTGAAGAGGAGATTGTTTTTTTCACAGATGGAGAAGATCCATATGATGAAAAGAATTAAAAAAAATGCTCTTACCCTTTTCATTCTTTTTTATTTAATCATGTTATAAGTATTAAAGTGATTTAAGTATTTGTGAATTTGATTAAATTTTATAGGAGTTTAGTGGGAAAGTGAAGGATTTGGAGGTAGATGTGGGTGCAGTGGATGTTTTTGTGGCTGAAGTTTTATCAAAAGTTGCTGAAGATTTCTCATTGTTACGGGAAGAGAAGAGGCTAAGAGAGGCTTTGAGTTTGCAAATACTTGTGGTGCAATTACTATGACAGAGAGAGGCATAATTTCAGCATTACCCAGTAGAGAAACTGTCATGGATGCTTCACTCAAGGCTATCATGTAAGTTTTCTTGCATTATGTACCAACATACTTTATTGTGGCTACCAATTCAGGCAATGTACTAGGGATGAGCATATGGACCGGGGAACCGATCGGAACCGGAACCCAATGGAACCGGTCGGGCCGGGACCGGGACGTTATTTTTGTGGATTTTTGTAATCGGGAACCGGTAGGAACCGGAACCGATATAACCAGAACCGGTAGAACCGGCAAAAACCGGAACCGTATGATGCTATTTTTCGAGGACCGGTTTCAACATTTGAAGACATGACAAGAACCGGTAGGAACCGGGAACCGGAACCGGTAGAACTGTTGGGCCGGTTCGATTCTTGATTTTGGCCGAAGCCGGTTCTCGGGTCGGGTCCAGTTCGGGTCGGTTCGGTACTTTTGCTCATCCCTACAATGTACTATGAGCTCCCTCCATGTAGCAAATTAGACCCTAAAATTCAGAAACCAAAACAATGTGAGCGATGATCACATAAACCATAGTTAGATGGATCGACTCTCCTGGAGGTAACATATCTATTATTTGAAATTTTATGTTTTGAATATATAAATTTGATGTAATTTATTGTTTAAGGAATCAATTACAACAAGCTGTTTATATTAGATCCAGACGATCCGTTAATGTCATATCTAAAAGTTTTGGTAGATATATGGTGCTCTTTTACAATTTTTTTCATCCAATTTTTTTTTTTATAAATTTACGAGATTTGTTATGTTATCCTTAAAGTTTTTTTTTTAACAACGAAATTGTACTTTGGAGTGTAGTTGTATGTATGTAAAACTAATGCATTTCACACACATCAAGTTTTTTGCGTCGTTGTCGGGAACGGTTCAAATAGTTAATTTTATTTGCTAATTGTCATCGTTTTTATTTTATTGATTAATTTTTTATATAGTTTAATTTTAATTTATTATGTATTTTCCAAATCTCGATGCTTTTGATACTTTTCTTGATGAAGTAGTACAGAAAATTGAGCAAAAAGATGAGGAGTATGACTCAGATGAAGATTTGAAGAAATTTGGAAGATGGTTAGATAACATCTTGCCCAACACACAAGGGACATCTGAGTTACAAGAGCTAAAGTTACAAGATGAAGAATTTAATCCAGAAAGAGACTTGGAGAAGCTAGAAAGGTTGCTGGCAGAGGGGTCAGACAAAGAACAAGAACAACCTGAATTGCAGGAACCAACCTATGGTTTGACCATTACCACGACGTGCCCCTCTGTATTTCTGGTTTGTGTTTCGAAGCATGGGGTGACTATTCTAACTTTGGAGAAAGTTCTGAAGCACGATCCATTTATGAGTAGTACCCAACCGGTTCGAACCCTTGCAATATTCTTGGGTTTTATGAATTCAAGCACGTTTAGCCAACTTTTGAAGCAAAGAGCCAAATTTTACAAATTGGTCCAAAGAAAATATTTAATGCAATGAATGGATTGGCATTGAGTTTATTCGAAGTTTATTAAGTTGGGAGTCCAGCTCAAGACTCGCACAAAAAGAAGCGCTTGCGGGAGGCAACCCGTCATTAGAGTTTGATTTCCTTTTCCTTTTTCTTTTTATTTTGTGTGTTTAGTTTGGTTTGTTTCTAAACTTCTAGTTTATTAGGGTAATTTAGGAATGCTAATTAGATGTTTTTTTTTCCTGTTATTATATAGTTTTTGTCTTTGATATAAGAGCTTTTCTTAAAGCGTGAGGGAAATAAAGTGAGGGGTCGAGTCGTTTACGAGAAGATTAGAAGATTTGAGTGATTTGCTGAGTCCGGTGTTTATAATGGTTAAAAAGGAGTCTCGTCATGGAAGAGTATAAGGAGGTGTATTACCTTAATACCTTCTTTGACGATAAAATCAGAACTGAAGGAGAAAGAAGAAAATTCACGTTCAACACCTTAAACTCGTCGAGTGCACATCTAAACTCGACGAGTTCCAAAGGAAATTCACGTTTTCTGCCTGAGTCACGATCCAATTCGAAGAATCTTCACTTACAACTTGGCGAGTTGCTCAGTCAACTTTCTTTCAAGTTTTAAATTTGATTCCATTCAAGGTGGGCATTGGCTATTTTTATTGAAGTTCATTTTTGAAGTTTTCCAAGAAGCTTTTCCCCGAATATTTAGAGCTATCAACCACACGAGATTTTGACACCCAAGGCGTGGATGAGTTGTTCCCATGCCTAAAGTCAGCTGAAGATGGAGCTAAATTGAAGAAGATCAACCTCGTCACTACTATCCCAGGGGAGTTTGTTCCAATTCCCTCTTTATTTTTCTTTACCATGCATAACATGCAATGGGGACATTGCATAAATCAAGGAAAAAATTGCAAAAATGGTCCCTGTGGTATGTCAAAACTAGCATGTTTGGGCCAAAACGGTTTTGGGTAGCATCAATGGTCCAAAAGTTTCATTTTCTTGCAAGTTTGGTCCAATTTGGTTTGAATTTTTTTGGAAAGACGATTTTGCCCTTATTATTTAATTTTTGATTTTTGTTTTATTACCAACAATTAAAAATAAAACAAAATAAAATACACACACTCTCTCTAATACCATCTCTCTCTCTCTCTCTCTCTCTCTCTCTCTTTTCAAAGTTGTCGGACCACCACAGCAGTCGGACGACCACCGCCAGTCAGACCACTACCACTAATCGGACCACCACCTCTTATCGGAACCCTATCATTTTCCGACGACGACTTCGTTATACCATCCATTTCATTGCCAAAATTCAGATCAAGGGTCGTTGCCTCCAACCGTGGCTCAATTTCCCAATGATGACGAATGGAGACGGTGTTCCAGATCTTTGATGATGACCCCACTGGAGAAAGAATTTGCAAATCTGAGAGAGAGGGAAAGAGGCACCTCCGGCAAACCTACCCCTAAAGTCATTGTATTTGTATCTCGAAGCTTAAAGACGTCGTCGGAGAAAGCGAAGACGATGTAAAATCGAGCAACATACTTCACCCTTTTAACGTAGTTCTTGTGGAACCCTTCCAATTGAGGGTGAATAGACATCATCATCGTTTTGGCTTCACCATTTGAGCTTCGTTCTCGTTTCACCGATGGTGTTGGAAACACGAGATGGTGTTGGAAACACTACTACACCCTCACCTTCGTCACTGCTGCACCCCATCACCATGCTTGTCGCCTTCAGATATGTTCAGTCTGTAACTAGAGGATCTCGAGGTGGTGTGGAGATGTAACCCATATCAATAACCCCCCTTGATCGATGACAACCACCTCGTCGGAGGCTTAACATCCGAGGAAAAATCGATCCGAGGTGTCTTCCCCTCTATTTCCAATCGCGAAACTCTATCTGAAAAACCTAGCCACCAAGAAACCCGAATCGTCACGAAACCCAAACTTCAGATCTCGATCTCCTTTCTCTCGTTGGCATCTGTCTAGGTTCAAAGGGAGGGTAGCAACGATCAAATCGGGTGTTTGGGGTGGTGCTACCTGACCGGAGGGAGGCGGAGGGGAAACCTAGGCCGACGACAACCACTCGTTCTTCTTCTTTGGACAGTGGTAAGCAAGAAATGAGAGAGAGAGATAGAGAGAGAGAGAGAGGTATGAGAGAGAGGATATTTTATTTTATTTTGTTTTATTTTTAATTATTTTTAATTGTTAGTATTAAAACAAAAATAAAAAATTAAATAATAAGGGCAAAATCGTCTTTCCAAAAAAATTCAAACCAAATTGGGCCAAATTTGCAAGAAAATGAAACTTTTGGACCATTGATGCAAGCCAAAACTGTTTTGGCCCAAACATGCTAGTTTTGACATACCACAGGGACCATTTTTGCAATTTTGTCTAAATTAAGTGTGGGGTAGGGGTTGGTTAAATTAGTTAAATTTTAAATTTTTTGCATTGCTAGGGCTAAATTAGAAAATTTGCTAAGGTAATTAAGAATCAT